CACAACACACAATAACACACAACACACACAAACACACAAACACACAAACACACAAAACACACAATAAACACACACACACACAATAAACACACAACACACAATAACACAACAACACACACAACACACATAAACACAACACACATAAAACACATAAAACACACACAACACACAATAAACACACAATAAACACACACACACACAATACACACACAACACACACACACAACACACAATAAACACACAAACACACAATAAACACACAATAAACACACAACACACAACACACAATACACACACACACAATAAACACACAACACACAATAAACACACACAACACACAATAAACACACAAACACACAATAAACACACAACACACAATAAAACACACAACACACACAAATAAACACACAATAAACACACAATACACAATAAACACAATAAACACACAACACACAATAAACACACAACACACAATAAACACACAACACACACAATAAACACACACACACACACAACACACAATAAACACACAACACACAATAAACACACAAACACACACAACACACAATAAACACACAACACACACAATAAACACACAACACACAATAAACACACAACACACAATAAACACACAACACACAATAAACACACAACACACACAATAAACACACAATAAACACACAATACACAATAAACACACAATAAACACACAACACACAATAAACACACAACACACAATAACACACAACACACACAATAAACACACAACACACAACAACACACAATAAACACACAAACACACAATAACACACAAACACACAATAACACACACAACACACAATAACACACACAAACACACAACACACAAATAACACAAACACACACACAATAACACACACAAAAACACACAACACACAATAAACACACAACACACAAACACACAACACACAATAAACAACACACAATAAACACACACAACACACAATACAACAACACACACACACAAACACAATACAACACACAATAAACACACAATAACACAACACAATAAACACAACACAACACACACACACACACATAACACACAACAACACACACACAACACACACACAACACACAACACACAAACACACAACAACACACAATAAACACACAACACACAATCACACACACACACACACACACACAATAAACACACAACACACAATAAACACACAACACACACAATAAACACACAATACACAATAAACACACAATAAACACACAACACACAATAAACACACACAACACACAATAAACACACAACACACACAATAAACACACAACACACACAACACACAATAAACACACAACACACACAATAAACACACAATACACAATTGTGTGTTTATTGTGTGTTGTGTGTTTATTGTGTGTTGTGTGTTTATTGTGTGTTGTGTGTTTATTGTGTGTTGTGTGTTTGTTGTGTGTTGTGTGTTATTGTGTGTTGTGTGTTTATTGTGTGTTGTGTGTTTATTGTGTATTGTGTGTTTATTGTGTGTTGTGTGTTATTGTGTGTTGTGTGTTATTGTGTGTTGTGTGTGTGTTGTGTGTTTATTGTGTGTTGTGTGTTTATTGTGTGTTGTGTGTTTATTGTGTGTTGTGTGTTTATTGTGTGTTGTGTGTTTATTGTGTGTTTATTGTGTGTTGTGTGTTGTGTGTTTATTGTGTGTTGTGTGTTTATTGTGTGTTGTGTGTGTTGTGTCCTGCAGGGGGCGGAGGAGAGTTTCTTTCAGGAGTTGGCAGCTTCAGCTCGAGTTTCACTGAAGAAAAGACCAGAGGAAGAAGAAGAAGAGTGTGAGTTGTCCTCTGCATCATCTGCTCCTCCTCTGCTCCTCCTCTGCATCATCTGCTCCTCCTCCTCTGCTCCTCCTCCTCTGCATCATCTGCTCCTCCTCCTCTGCTCCTCCTCCTCTGCATCATCTGCTCCTCCTCTGACCTTTTGACCTCTTGCAGGTGAGCCTGTGACCTTTGACCTGCGTGACCTGTTGACCTTAAACCCGGCTTTGGACCCGGCTCTGAACCCGTCCCTCACTCCTCTGGCTCCACTGAAGAAGAACTAAACCAGGACTGGACCAGGACTGAACCAGGACTAAACCAGGACTGGACCAGGACTGAACCAGGACTGGACCAGGTCTGGACCAGGACTAAACCAGGTCTCAGACTCGGCCGTTCTCTGTTGAAACGTTCAAATATTTATGTCAAACTTTTGTAAAGAATTTTTTGTACATTTGGATTTTATTATTTTATTAAAATACAAAAATGTCATAAAAGAGTTTGGTGCTGTTTGTGGAACATCTGTGACCTGAGCGGGTCAGGGGTCAGGGGTCAGAGGGTCAGGGGTCAGGGGTCAGGGGTTACTCTGACCTCTGTGACAGATCAGGGAGAAAATTAAACTTTGACAAACGGCTGAAACTTTGTAGAACATTCTGTGATGTTGAGACTCAGACATGTTCTACAGCTCTGACCTCTGACCCCCTGACCCTAAACCACCCTCTGCTACTCTGACCTTTGACCTCTTGACCTTAAACCCGGAGTCAGTCACTGTTGGACGTGTTGTGTTTGGTCAAAGGTCATCTGTGCTCCGGGTTCTAGACGCTTCACTCCTCACCCACAGAGCCGCCACCACGAGACGCCCTCCACACGCCCACGAGACGCCACACGCCCACGAGACGCCACACGCCCCACACGCCCACGAGACGCCACACCACACGCCCACCACACGCCCACCACACCACACGCCCACCACACGCCCACGAGACGCCCACCGAGACGCCCTCCACACGCCCACGAGACGCCCACCACACGCCACACACACGCCCACGCCACACGCCTCCACACGACGCCCACCACACGCCCTCCACACACGCCCACGAGACGCCCACGAGACGCCCTCCACACGCCCCACGAGACGCCCACCACACGCCCACCACACGCCCTCCACACGCCCACCACACGCCCACGACGACGCCACACCACACACACGCCCACACGAGCCCCCACACGCCCTCCACACGCCCTCCACACGCCCACCACGAGACGCCCACGACACGCCCACACACGCCCTCCACACGCCCACACACGCCCACCACACGCCACACCCCCACACGCCCTCACACGCCCACGACGACGCCTCCACACGCCCTCCACACCACACGCCCACGAGACGCCACACGCCCACACGCCCTCCACACGCCCACGAGACGCCCACGAGACGCCCCGAGACGCCCACCACACGCCCACCGAGACGCCCTTCACACGCCCACGAGACGCCCACTCCACACGCCCACCCACCACACGCCCACGAGACGCCCACGACGAGACCCCTCCACACGCCCTCCACACGCCCCCACACGCCCACACCACACGCCCACCACACGCCCACGACGACGCCCACGAGACGCCCACACGCCCACGAGACGCCCTCCCACACGCCCACGACACGCCCACACCCACACGCCACGAGACGCCCACCACCCACGAGACGCCCACCACACGCCCTCCACACGCCCACGAGACGCCCACGACGCCCCACACCCACCACACGCCCACGAGACGCCCTCCACACGCCCACGAGACGCCCTCCCACCACACGCCCACCACACGCCACACCACACGCCCACCACACGCCCACGAGACCCACCACACGCCCACCACAGGCCCACGAGACGCCCACCACACGCCCACGAGACACCCACCACACGCCCACCACAGGCCCACGAGACGCCCACCACACGCCCACGAGACGCCCACCTGTTCCATTCTCCCGATCGTGCCGGATGCCCTCCCCGTGTGTCGGATCGTGCCGGATGCCCTCCCCGTGTGTCGGATCGTGCCGGATGCCCTCCCCGTGGCTCCAGTCTGTGGCTCTCTCTAAGTTGCGGCCTGTTAATACAATCGCGCTGCTAAATTCTTGTACATTACCGCAGCTCACGAGTATCGATCCGAGTATCGATCCGGGGAGGCCCCAGTGATTGATGCACGCGTGTCTGTGAGCTGGAGCCGGCTCCGCTCTAATGGCCCCTAAGTGCACGTGTTTACGTCCTAATGTGATGCGCGTGTCCGCCCCGCGCTCGTTACTGTCAGCGCCACTTCCGCCGCGTCAATTAGAAACATCAATATTTCAAACCCGATTCAACCGCTGCACTTCAGAGCAATTACCCAGTCCAGAGCACTTAGACCCGCACACCGCTGGAGCCGAGCCACGGGAGCCGAGCCACGGGAGCCGAGCCACGGGAGCCGAGCCACGGGAGCCGAGCCACGTTCGTCCCGCGTGGAGCGAGGCTTTCCCCGGTAACAGCGGCGCGGGGGCCCGGAGCGGGGCCACGGCCGTGGTTCGCGTGAGGGAGGCCGGGCGGGGTATTTTCAGGCTCCGTGGGGAAGCGCGGTGACTTGTGGGTAGATCTGACCTGGTTTCTCTCTCTCTTCCGTCACCGCGCGCGCAGGAGCCAAACTGAAGCGGTGCGTCTCCGGAGCGTTTGAGGCGCGTCAGAGGAGCGTGGATCCGCCGCGGCGCGTCACGGTGAGTGGGTTCATCATCTCTGCCCACGGACACGACACGAGCGAGAAACTGATGTCAAATTTAAGAAATAGATTCATGCAGATTTACCGCGGGTCCGCGCGTCTCCAGGGGCGCGCGCACGTCCTGGTTTATTTCGGTCCCAGAATCAGGTCGCGCGCAGAAGCGTCGCAGAGGCGGACCCGGTTCGGTCCTGAGGATTTGTTTGGTTTATTTTATGATCAGGAACATTTGGAGAAACTTGAACTTTTACATGACACGTGAGCACGATCTTTACGTTACTTTACTTTAGTTACATTTAGAACGTGAAAAAGTGAAAGTTTTGTCACGTGACTCAGGGACAAAAGCATCAACACGATTCAGGTTTTTTTTGCTGTCTGCTATAAATTATTATTATTATTATTATTATTATTATTATTATTATGAATGAAATCATTCAGTGCTTTTACTTACTTTTACAGTAATTTTCCTACAAGCAAAACAAGATGTGTCCTACAGGAGGCACGAGTCAAAACATAAAAATACAGGAAAAGATGGAAGAAAATTGTAAAAAAAATAAAGTACTAAAGAGGCTTTAATTGTTCCTGTGAACACATTTGGAAAGATCTGAATTTCTACTTTAGTTTAACCTCTATTTGCGAGAAAAGCTTCATCATAATTATTTAAAACCCCGTGTGGAGCGTCACTCGTCGCCAGGCTGCAGAGGAAAAGAGCAAAAATAAACCAGAATGAGGCTTTAACCCTTCCAGACCTAAGGGAAATTTTATAGTACATTTGTCCTCTCCTGGATTTTGAAAAAATAAATATCAAGTCTGTAATAAACTGAAAATATTCTTATTGCCACAAAACAAAAAGATCAGTGTCCCCATGACTCGACTGGTGCAGGTCATGGAAACATCTGGAGTCAGGTCCAGGTCACAGAGACACTTCTGTGTTTCCATGAGTTTATTACATTTGGATTTGGACATTTGGACTCAAATAAACCTGAAAATAAGACAGGACGTGTCATTTTTCATTTATTTGAGAAATATCTGCACTTTTATAAAATATTCTGCGACTTTTTCAATAAATTCTGACACAGACGCTCAGAACATCGACCGTTTTGACTCACTTCACTCTTTGGAAAAGTTTGGACCAATCAAACTGGACGGAGCGACTGAGTTTGACCAAAACAAAGTTCCTGTTGGACACTCGTTTTCTCGACGTCGTCACAGCGAGAGAAGCAGGACAAAGACGCAAATATGATCAGAAAAACTCGACGGAAAGAGAAGTATGTTTCTATATTTGATGGTTCTAAAGTTGTGCGTGGTTTTATAAAACAGATTTGTACGTCTTGTGAACGAGGCCGATGGTCTGGAAGAGTTAAAGCGCCGCGAGCGCACGAGTCGCTCTGAATGGAACAAAGACGATGGGACGGTTTGTGAAAGTGAAAGTGAAAGTAAGCGTCGTATTGTCGTCCTCAGCCCATGTCCATGATGTCGGACGCCCCGCAGGAGGAGTACCCCGAGGTGCTCTTGTGCATCTTGGAGGACCTGGCGGCGGTGAGGCGGTGTTTGAGTTTCCAGGAGCTTTGCCGCTTGGTGAGTTCTCGCTTCGCTCTGGAGCACCTCCTGGAGCTTCGCTCGCTGCTGTTCGACGCCGCCTCACGTGACCCGTGTTTTCCCGCCACGCTGTTCCGAGAGCGCGTCGCCACCAGGGGGCAGCCGTCGCCCATCGCCGTGGCGGCCGACATCGTCACCATCTTCAACCTGATCCAGATGACGGGGGGCGGGCCCGAGGCCACGCAGCCAATCAGGACGCAGACGCCAATACCGGTCGACCAATCACCAGGGCCCGCGCTGCCAGGTACAACAACTGGAGAGTTAAACTTTACTCTTTTCCTCAGAGTTTCTCTGAGTCACTCTGTTCTAGAGTTAATTTAATGTTCATGAAGTAAAACTGGACCAAAGTTCCTGTTGAACCCAAACCCAGAGTTAAATGAAGGTTTAGAGAGTAAACAGAAAACACTGTGTAGAGTTAATCTGATTTAACTCAACACACAGAGGAGTTTTATTTGAGTTAATTTAAGATGAAATTATGAACAAGAGGAGTGAAGTGAGGAGACAAATTAACACTAAGAGAAGTTAAATTAACTTCAACCAAATCAACTCCAACTCACATTTAACTCTCAAAGAGTAAAAATAAAACACTTTTTGTGTTTAAAACAAAACTGAAATATTTTACCTTTAATTTTAACCTCCAGTTTTTGCTGTTCTCCTCCTCCTCCTCCTCCTCCTCCTCCTCCTCTCTCCTCCTCTCTCCTCCTCCTCCTCCTCCTCCTCCTCCTCCTCCTCCTCCTCCTCCTCCTCCTCCTCCTCCTCCTCCTCCTCCCTCCTCCTCCTCCTCCTCCTCCTCCCTCCTCCTCCTCCTCCTCCTCCTCTCTCCTCCTCCTCCTCCTCCTCCTCCTCCTCCTCCTCCTCCTCCTCCTCCTCCTCCCTCCTCCTCCTCCTCCTCCTCCTCCTCCTCCTCCTCCTCCTCCTCTCCTCCTCCTCCTCATCCTCCTCCTCCCTCCTCCTCCTCCTCCTCTCCTCCTCCTCCTCCTCCTCCTCCTCCTCCTCCTCCTCCTCTCCCTCCTCTCCTCCTCCCTCCTCCCTCTCCTCCTCCTCCTCCTCCTCCTCCTCCTCCTCCTCTCTCCTCCTCCTCCTCCTCCTCCTCTCCTCCTCCTCCTCCTCCTCCTCCTCCTCCTCCTCCTCCTCCTCCTCCTCCTCCTCCTCCTCCCTCCTCCTCCTCCTCCTCCTCCTCCTCCTCCTCTCTCCTCCTCCTCCTCCTCCTCTCCTCCTCCTCCTCCTCCTCCTCCTCCTCCTCCTCCTCCTCCTCCTCCTCCTCTCCTCCTCTCTTCTTCCTCTCTCGTCCGGTCCAGGCGTGCTCCATCTGAGCGCGCTCAGTAGAGAGCGAGTGCGCGCTCACTCTGACTCCGGTGGGCGGGGCCTGGAGCACTTGCCCCTCCCCCGACGCGGTTACTCGGCTCGGAAACGCGGCAGTTTACCCCCGGACCCCCTGTCGGTGCTGCCCTCGTCTCCCCCCGCCAGGGCCCGCGCCGTGTCCTTCGACCTGCCGCACCCGCCGCACCCGCCGCACCCGCCCGGGCACCTGCCGGACCTGCTGCGCCCCGGGGGCATGAGGAGCCTGTACCTGCCGCTGGAGACGGACAGCGAGTCCAGCGACTCGACTCACGGCGACGTGTTCGAGCCCGAAGCGTCTGTGGGCAAAAAAAGGAATATTTTTAAAAGAGACTTTCACAACCAACCGCCCCTGATCCCCCAGGTAAGAGACCAGGTCTAGTCCTGGTCTAGTCCTGGTCTAGTCCTGGTCTAGTCCTGGTTTAGTCCTGGTCTAGTCCTGGTCTAGTCCTGGTCTAGTCCTGGTCTAGTCCTGGTCTAGTCCAGGTCTAGTCCTGGTCTAGTCCTGGTCTAGTCCTGGTTTAGTCCTGGTCTAGTCCTGGTTTAGTCCTGGTCTAGTCCAGGTCTAGTCCTGGTCTAGTCCTGGTCTAGTCCTGGTTTAGTCCTGGTTTAGTCCAGGTTTAGTCCTGGTTTAGTCCAGGTTTAGTCCTGGGTTAGTCCTGGTTTAGTCCTGGTTTAGTCCAGGTTTAGTCCAGGTTTAGTCCTGGTTTAGTCCAGGTTTAGTCCAGGTTTAGTCCAGGTTTAGTCCTGGTTTAGTCCAGGTTTAGTCCAGGTTTAGTCCTGGTTTAGTCCAGGTTTAGTCCAGGTTTAGTCCTGGTTTAGTCCAGGTTTAGTCCTGGTTTAGTCCAGGTTTAGTCCTGGTTTAGTCTTATTTTAGTCCAGGTTTAGTCCAGGTTTAGTCCAGGTTTAGTCTTGTTTTAGTCCAGGTTTAGTCCAGGTTTAGTCCTGGTTTAGTCCAGGTTTAGTCCTGGTTTAGTCTTGTTTTAGTCCAGGTTTAGTCCTGGTTTAGTCCAGGTTTAGTCCAGGTTTAGTCCAGGTTTAGTCCAGGTTTAGTCCTGGTTTAGTCCAGGTTTAGTCCAGGTTTAGTCCAGGTATAGTCTTGTTTTAGTCCAGGTTTAGTCCTGGTTTAGTCCAGGTTTAGTCCTGGTTTAGTCCAGGTTTAGTCCCGGTTTAGTCCAGGTTTAGTCCAGGTTTAGTCCTGGTTTAGTCCAGGTTTAGTCTTTTTTTAGTCCAGGTTTAGTCCTGGTTTAGTCCAGGTTTAGTCCAGGTTTAGTCCAGGTTTAGTCCTGGTTTAGTCCAGGTTTAGTCTTGTTTTAGTCCAGGTTTAGTCCTGGTTTAGTCTTGTTTTAGTCCAGGTTTAGTCCTGGTTTAGTCCAGGTTTAGTCTTGTTTTAGTCCTGGTTTAGTCCAGGTTTAGTCCAGGTATAGTCTTGTTTTAGTCCAGGTTTAGTCCAGGTTTAGTCCAGGTTTAGTCCTGGTTTAGTCCAGGTTTAGTCCAGGTTTAGTCCTGGTTTAGTCCAGGTTTAGTCCAGGTTTAGTCCTGGTTTAGTCCAGGTTTAGTCCAGGTTTAGTCCCTGGTTTAGTCTTTGTTTAGTCCAGGTTTAGTCCAGGTTTAGTCCAGGTTTAGTCCAGGTTTAGTCCAGGTTTAGTCCTGGTTTAGTCCAGGTTTAGTCCAGGTTTTAGTCCAGGTTTAGTCCTGGTTTAGTCCAGGTTTAGTCTGTTTAGTCCAGGTTTAGTCCTGGTTTAGTCCAGGTTTAGTCCAGGTTTAGTCTTGTTTTAGTCCAGGTTTAGTCTTGTTTTAGTCCAGGTTTAGTCCTGGTTTAGTCCAGGTTTAGTCCAGTTTAGTCCTGGTTTAGTCCTGGTTTAGTCCAGGTTTAGTCCAGGTTTAGTCTTGTTTTAGTCCAGGTTTAGTCCTGGTTTAGTCCAGGTTTAGTCCAGGTTTAGTCCTGGTTTAGTCCTGGTTTAGTCCAGGTTTAGTCCAGGTTTAGTCCAGTCCAGGTTTAGTCCAGGTTTAGTCTTGTTTTAGTCCAGGTTTAGTCCTGGTTTAGTCCAGGTTTAGTCAGGTTTAGTCTTGTTTAGTCCTGGTTTAGTCTTGTTTTAGTCCAGGTTTAGTCCTGGTTTAGTCCAGGTTTAGTCCAGGTTTAGTCTTGTTTTAGTCCTGGTTTAGTCCAGGTTTAGTCCAGGTTTAGTCTTGTTTTAGTCCAGGTTTAGTCCTGGTTTAGTCCAGGTTTAGTCCAGGTTTAGTCTTGTTTTAGTCCAGGTTTAGTCCAGGTTTAGTCTTGTTTTAGTCCAGGTTTAGTCCTGGTTTAGTCCAGGTTTAGTCCTGTTTTAGTCCTGGTTTAGTCCAGGTTTAGTCTTGTTTTAGTCCAGGTTTAGTCCTGGTTTAGTCCTGGTTTAGTCCTGGTTTAGTCCAGGTTTAGTCTTGTTTTAGTCCAGGTTTAGTCCAGGTTTAGTCTTGTTTTAGTCCAGGTTTAGTCCAGGTTTAGTCTTGTTTTAGTCCAGGTTTAGTCCTGGTTTAGTCCAGGTTTAGTCCTGTTTTAGTCCTGGTTTAGTCCAGGTTTAGTCTTGTTTTAGTCCAGGTTTAGTCCTGGTTTAGTCCTGGTTTAGTCCAGGTTTAGTCCAGGTTTAGTCTTGTTTTAGTCCAGGTTTAGTCCTGGTTTAGTCCTGGTTTAGTCCAGGTTTAGTCCAGGTTTAGTCTTGTTTTAGTCCAGGTTTAGTCCTGGTTTAGTCCTGGTTTAGTCCAGGTTTAGTCCTGGTTTAGTCCAGGTTTAGTCCAGGTTTAGTCCAGGTTTAGTCCAGTTTTAGTCCAGGTTTAGTCCAGGTTTAGTCCTGTTTTAGCTGTAAGTTCATTACAGATCGTCTCCTGAGACTCACAGCTTCACTTTCCGATAACTGGATTTGATCTTCTGGAAACTTCAGAAGCAGCTTCAGTTTGGAGTTTCAGGCATTTTTGGAAAATAAAAATTTGAAAAATTGGATTTGAAAAAAACGGGGTTTTGATGACGTTTTTAACGTTTTTAAAAAGACGGGTTTTTGTAACGTTTTTAAAAAAGACTAAAGAGAAAAAAAACAGTTTTTGTAACGTTTTTTAAAAAGACGGGGTTTTGTAACGTTTTTTTTTTTGTAACGTTTTTAAAAAACGAAACGTTTTTAAAAAAGACGGGGTTTTGTAACGTTTTTTAAAAAGACGGGGTTTTGTAACGTTTTTTAAAAAGACGGGGTTTTGTAACGTTTTTTAAAAAGACGGGGTTTTGTAACGTTTTTAAAAAAGACGGGGTTTTGTAACGTTTTTTAAAAAGACGGGGTTTTGTAACGTTTTTTTGGGGTTTTTGTTTTTAAAAAAACGTTTTTTAAAAAAGACGGGGTTTTTTGTTTTTTAAAAAAGACGTTTTTGTTTTGTTTTTTTAAAAAAGACGGGGTTTTGTAACGTTTTTTAAAAAGACGGGGTTTTGTAACGTTTTTAAAAAAGACGTTTTGTAACGTTTTTAAAAAAGACGGGGTTTTGTAACGTTTTTTAAAAAGACGGGGTTTTGTAATGTTTTTAAAGACGAGGTGTCAGATGTTTGGAGCGTCTCAGGTTCTACCACTGTTCCACGACAGAAATCATGTATTTATACATAACATGTGTATAACTATAAAAGGAAACATGGTTTCTACAAATGTTTTACACTTAATACCTCACAGAAGTCAAATACTCCTCTTTAATGAAACTAGTGTGAATGAAGCAAACCAAACTCCGTCCATGTTTTAATGAGGGTAAAACACGGTTAAAGTTCAAACTCGTGTCCTTTAATGTACGACATTTAAAATAAAACGTGTGTTAAATTCTATTAACTGTGACCTTTGACCCCAGGTGACGGTCCAAAGCGAGTCCCCAAGTCCTGGAGCCAAGACCGGACTTGACAACCACAGCTTTGAGATGATCCCCAACCCGTACCCCTCCCCCCAAAACGCCAAACACGCCAAAAACACTAAACACGAGAGTCTGGACGACCTGCAGGACTCCACCTACTTTGGTCCAGGATCAGCGCCTGAGTCCTGGTCCCCGCGCCACCTGCACCCGCAGCCCCAAAAGTCCCTCTGGAGCACCCGCAGCCACAGTTTGGAGGACCGGATTGGCACCGGCCCAAATGCTCCTCTCGACCCCAAAAACAGGTCCAGCCCTGCCCTCCGGAAGCTGTCTCCAGGAGGGGGGTGCGCGGAGGCCGGCGTGCCCAGGGAGGCGGAGGGCTTCAGGGCACAGGCCACTCAGACGGACCCCCCGGACCCCCGGCGCCTCCGCAGCCTGGTGCACGCCGACAGACTCTCTTTTATGACCTCCTTAGATGATCCGGATCTGTGCGAGGACGACATTAGTGCCATCTTCCGGTTTTTGGATGACATTAGCATGTGTGGGTCCACCGGCGTCCTTCACGGGGACGGCGGGCTGAACCAGGACACCCCCGAGGGACGACGCGGGCGCTTGGGTCAGCTCTCGCGCCTCTTTCACTCTTTAGAAAGCAGCGACGATGGTCTGAAGGCCAGCGTCTGTAAGCTCCTGTTACGCATGAGCCAAATCGAGCGGCAGCTGGAGTCGCTCGCAGAAGTGAAGTCGGAGATCTCCCAGGTGCTCTCGGCTCTGCAGCGTTTGGACGAGAAGATCCAGCAGCCCCTGCCCGCCGGGCGCCGCCAGGGCAGCAGCTCCAGTCGCTGGTTAGAGCCTCTGAGCGGAGTCAGTTCTTTCATGAGTCACCCCGTCACCCCATCGGAAAGCTCTGAACCTCAGCCCCTGTCCGCCTCCGGGCACCTGTCGGGGCACCTGTCGGGGCACCTGTCGGGCACCTGTACCCGGCCACGAGCAGCAGCAGCCTGGACTGGAGCCGGTGGAACGGTCCCGCCCCCGCCGAAGGATCTAAGGGTCCAACAGAGAACAAAGACGGTTTATCTCGACGGGCCTCGAAAAATGAAGAAAAGGAAAAGGAAAAGGACTGGAGCACAGCGGCCAACGGGAAACTGGGACAGGTGAGTCTGACAGGTGAGGCACTGACAGGTGAGTCTGACAGGTGAGGCACTGACAGGTGAGTCTGACGGGTGAGTGTGTATCTCGCTTGTCTTTCGTACACAAACAGATCAGGGCGTTCCAAACTTAGAAACAGTCACCGTGTTTATACTTGGAAATATTCCTAAAGTCAAGGCTGTGTTCTGTTAAACCACCAGCAGAGGGCGCTGTGCTGCGCTGAGCATCAAAACAGACGAAATAGAATCACATAAACAGACCACGAGACGCAAACCGCGAGACGCAAACCGCCAGACGCAAACCTCGAGACGCAAACCGCCAGACGCAAACCGCCAGACGCAAAGACGCAAACCGCGAGACCCAAACCGCGAGACGCAAACCGCGAGACGCAAACCTCGAGACGCAAACCGCCAGACGCAAACCGCCAGACGCAAAAACGCAAACCCTCGAGAACACAAACCGCGAGACACAAACCGCCAGACGCAAACCCGAACCGCAAACCGCGAGACGCAAACCGCCAGACGCAAACCGCGACAGACGCAAACCGCCAGACACAAACCTCGAAACACAAACCGCGAGACACAAACCGCCAGACGCAAACCGCGAGCAAACCGCAAACGCGAAAAACCGAAACAAACCGCGAGACGCAAACCGCCAAACGCAAACCGCCAGACGCAAAACCCCGAAACCACCGCACAAACCGCGAGACCGCCACCAAACCGCCAGCAAACCGAAACACAAACCGCACAAAACCGAGACGCAAACCGCGCAAACCGCAAACGCGCGAAACACAAACCGCAGACGCAAACCGCGAACAAACCGCGAGACCAAACCGCACAAACCGCGAGACCCAAACCGCGAACCCAAACCAAACCGCCAGACACAAACCGCCAGACACAAACCGCCAGACGACACAAACCGCCAGACGTAAACCTTGAGACATAAACCTCGAAACACAAACCGCCAGACACAAACCGCCAGACACAAACCGCGAGACACAAACACAAACAGACCAAACGCACAAACGCGAAGCACAAACCGCCAGAGACACAAACCGCCAGACACAAACCGCGAGACACAAACCTCGAGACATACACAAACCGCCAGACACAAACCGCCAGACACAAACCGCGAGACACAAACCGCGAAGCACAAACCGTGAAACACAAACCGCAAGACGCAAACCGTCGAAGACACAAACCGCGAGACACAAACCGCCAGACGCAAACCGCCAGACGCAAACCTCGAGACCTCGAAACACAAACCGCGACACAAGACACAAACCGCGAGACTCAAACCGCGAGACTCAAACCGCCAGACACAAACCGCCAGACGTAAACCGCCGAGACACAAACCGCCGAAAGACACAAACCGCCAGACACAAACCGCCAGACACAAACCGCCGAGACACAAACCTCGAGACATAAACCGCGAGACTCAAACCGCGAGACACAAACCGCGAGACGCAAACCGCCAGACGCAAACCGCCAGACGCAAACCGCCAGACGCAAACCGCCAGACACATCTGTGGGAAAACAGGTGAGAGAATGAGCAGTAGTGTGTTCAGGAGCAGTAGTGTGTGTGTTCAGGGAGCAGTAGTGTGTTCAGGGGCAGTAGTGTGTTCAGGGCAGTAGTGTGTGTGTTCAGGGGCAGTAGTGTGTTCAGGGGGAAGTAGTGTGTGTTCAGGGCAGTAGTGTGTGTGTTCAGGGGCAGTAGTGTGTAGTGTGTCAGGGCAGTAGTGTGTTCAGGGGCAGTGTGTGTGTTAGGGGGCAGTAGTGTGTTCAGGAGCAGTTAGTGTGTGTTCAGGAGCAGTAGTGTGTTCAGGAGCAGTAGTGTGTGTGTTCAGGGGCAGTAGTAGTGTGTTCAGGTGTGTTCAGGGGCAGTAGTGTGTTCAGGGGGCAGTAGTGTGTGTGTTCAGGGGCAGTAGTGTGTTCAGGGCAGTAGTGTGTTCAGGGGGCAGTTCAGTGGAGCAGTAGTGTGTTCAGTAGGTTCAGGGGGCAGTAGTGTGTTCAGGGGGCAGTAGTGTGTTCAGGGGCAGTAGTGTGTTCAGGGGCAGTAGTGTGTTCAGTAGTGTGTTCAGGGCAGTAGTGTGTGTGTTCAGGGGCAGTAGTGTGTGTGTTCAGGAGCAGTAGTGTGTTCAGGAGCAGTAGTGTGTTCAGGGGCAGTAGTGAGCAGTAGTGGTAGTGTGTTTCAGGGGCAGTAGTGTGTTCAGGGGGCAGTAGTGTGTTCAGGGGCAGTAGTGTGTGTGTTCAGGGGGCAGTAGTGTGTTCAGGAGCAGTAGTGTGTTCAGGAGCAGTAGTGTGTGTGTTCAGGGGCAGTAGTGTGTTCAGGGGGCAGTAGTGTGTTCAGGGGCAGTAGTGTGTGTGTTCAGGGGCAGTAGTGTGTTCAGGGGCAGTAGTGTGTGTGTTCAGGGGCAGTAGTGTGTTCAGGAGCAGTAGTGTGTGTGTTCAGGGGCAGTAGTGTGTTCAGGGGCAGTAGTAGTGTGTGTGTTCAGGGGCAGTAGTGTGT